TCTCTCTCTCTCTCTCTCTCTCTGTGTGTGTGTCTCTGTGTGTGTGTGTGTGTGTAGAGGGAGAGGGGGGGAGGGGAGGAGAAAGCTTGTTTGCTTTTTCAGGCAATCAACTAGCCAACTTCTGGTCGCAGATTACAGAAATCAACAGTGACGTGCTACCTCTGCAAGCCACGTGGCATGCAGAGGTAGCACTTCAACTACCGCTTTTCTCTCTCGCGCGAACCGTCGGAGTCAGTGGAGCGACACACTCGCGCGCAATCGTTGCGCAGCAGAGGGGAAAGTGAAGCGTCTGGCGGGAAAGTGGAGTTCGTGACGGCAAGGTCAAATTTTGCAGGTAAAGCGGAGTGTCTGGCGGGAAAGTGAGGTTGAAGGGGCGCCAGGGGGGCGAGTGAAGTGAAACATCTGGCGGGAAAGTGAAGTGTGTGAGTGGGGGAGGTGAAGTGTCTGGCCGGAAAGCGCAGTGTTTACTTCGCTGGATTAGCTCCTCGTGAGTGTTCCATGGCAATGCCCGCACAGACACGACAGCCTCTGCTTTCTTTCTCCGTTTCTTCTTTTTCTTACCCCCTGGAGATCGTTGATGAACCCAGAGCTGCCTTCTTCCGCCGAATACAAACATACCGTACGCTCTTCAGTCTAAATAAGCGTACGGTCATTATAACGTACGGTATATTTGGGGTGACTTTCAGTCTAAATAGAGCAATAATTACCGTACGCTCTATTCGGGGGAAGAAGGTAGTACAAGAAACGCATCTATGCACTGACTGTTGATGAACAGATCATGAGTTCGAGGACGGGATCGCATCGAAACTGTAGTTTAACTACATTGGAGCATCGTCTCATTTACAAACAAACAAAAAAAAAAAAAAAAAAAACTTGACACAGTGACCTGAGAGAGGTCGACGGTTCGGACGTGCGAGGAGAAGCACGAACTATAGGAGGTTTTTTTTTTTTTTTTTTTTTCACAACGAGCACATAAAATTTCCCCAAGGTGACAAAGACCATGGCAACCTTGAGCAGAGGAGGTGGAGGAGGGAGGAGGGAGGAGGAGGGAGGAGGAGGGCGAAGAGGAGGAGAAGGGCAACTTGAGCAGAGGACGACGAGGAGGAGGATGGCAACCTTGAGCAGAGCAGTAGGAGGAGGAAGACGAGGAGGAGGAGGAGGAAGGCAACCGTGAGCAGAGGAGGAGGAGGAGAAGATAAAGGAGGAAGGCAACCTTGAGCAGAGGAGGAGGAGGAGGAGGAGGAGATGATCAAGGAGGAAGGCAACCTTAAGCAGAGGAGGAGGAGGAGGAGATAAAGGAGGAAGGCAACCTTGAGCAGAGGAGGAGGAGGAGGAGATAAAGGAGGAAGGCAACCTTGAGCAGAGGAGGAGGAGGAGAAGATAAAGGAGGACGAAGGCAACCTTGAGCAGAGGAGGACGACGGAGGGCGAGAGAGGAGGAGGGCGAGGGAGGAGGACGGGGGGGAAGAGGAGGAGAAGGGCAACCTTGAGCAGGAGGAGGAGGAGGAAGAGGGCAACCTTGAGCAGAGGAGGAGGAGGAGGAAGAGGAGATAAAGAAGAAGAGGACAAGGTGAAATGACAATGACAGAGGAAGAAGACGATGAGAAGAAGGAAGGGGGCAAAAAAACGGAGGGGTAAAGCCGGCGAAGAGGGGGCACAGAGGAGAGGCCCAAACGAAAAGGGGAGGGAAAAAAAACACAGGGAGTGAGCTAACCTCCAGTGCAAGGTGCTGCTATCCCGATTCCCCTACAACATAAGCCGCGCGCGCGGGCCGTGCTAACGTGGAACGCCAGCGTTGTTGATTGGCGGCAGCTGACAGCATACTTACCACACTAAGAACTTTCCTGGACGTATATGACCGCTTTTCCGATCCCGCCTGCATGCACCGGACCGCAATTACGTCCACAGAGAGGTCGAAAAAGCCCGGGTGTGTGGCTTACTCAAGAAGCAAGCAATTACTACGGCGAACGGCGAATTTTCGGCCGGAGCGCTCGGCGGTATGATGAATGACGTGACAAATTTAAAAAAAAAATTGCACCACTTCTCGATTTATGCGTGTCATCCTTGCTAAGGGTCTTATCCGACACTACTTACGGAACAAGAATCCGTAAAAGAAACGAAAAAGGTGGGGCCGGTCCATTCGGGACGTAAAAGAAAACGGGGACCCCACTGGCCCGTATCTTGCGCATCATTGACGAGGACCCCGGCGGTTTATGTTGGGCGGGTATCGTTGGTGACTGGGCAACGGAGTGAACGGAGTACTGGCACGGACACTACCGGGACCTGAAGACGTCCGACAGTTGCCGTTTGTGTGGCATGGACTGCCACACAGGACCGCACTGGCCCAGCGGTATGGGAATTCGGTCGGGCAGAGGCGTACGGGAAAATCCGCCCCCACTCCCCCCCACCCACCCACGCGCCATGGCCTGGCGCACAGGACCGTCGTGGGCCCACCGCGTCACCCTGGCTTGGCTGTTTTCCCGAACGGGCAAATCCCCCCCAAGCGCCGACTACCCTCTGCCCGTGTGCACCTCTGAGCTGTGCTGGCGATGGCCTTCGTCGACGTCGCACTTAGTCCATCGGCTTCGCCTCACATGCAAGATGACCGCCTGCTACCGCCTGGAATGGCGAGGAAGCTGAAAGCCGTTGCAGTTCCTGACGTGCCATCGCGGCGTGTCGTTTTTTTTTCTGCGGCAGTGCGGCTGCCACGTGTCGAGGGCTCTCTCTCTCTCTCTCTCTCTCTCTCTCTCTCTCTCTCTCTCTCTCTCTCTCTCTCTCTCTCTCTCTCTCTCTCTCTCTCTCTCTCT